GGAGGTGGGCAGGACTGAGGGGTAATTTAAAGACGGAGAAACCGAGGCTCAGGTGAAAAGTGACATGTCCAAGAGGGCGACAGTGAATAGTGTGGAACAAGGATTGGTCCGCTTCCTCATTCATTCATTCAGTGACACATTTATGAGCACCTGCTATATGCCAGGCATCGAGTTGGACAAAGGGAATATAAAGACAAACAGGAAACATGCTTTGGGGAGCTGACACGGATGGGGAGGTACGGGGGGCAGTGGCAGCCCAGAGGAAGGGTGGGCTGAGCTCAGGCTTGGAGGATAGGTCAGCAGTGTCCCAGCGAAGGGGAAAGGCATTTCTGATAAGAGCACAGGTGGCAACCCAGGGAGCCCTGAGAACACCCAGCACCAGAGGGGAGCCGGTGGATCTGGGTGTGGATCCGGAGCCAGGAGTCCTCCTCCTGACCTGCTCGAAGCATCAGGGCTTTGAGAAAAAGCACAGATGTCTGGGCCCAGCCCAGCCGAACAGACCGGATCTCCGGGTGGAACTAGGCACAGTGTTGATTGAAGCTCCTCGGGAGAAGTGCTGGCTGGACAGTGGGGAGACGCCGACGAGTTTTAGGGGGGAGTGAAGGGGTGAGATGTGTGTTCTGGAAAAATCTCCCAGGGCTGTCACAGAGCAGAGGGGAGGCAGCCAAGAAGCCTCAAGCAGGAGGGGTGGGGGGGGGAGGACCTAAGGAGGACCCTAGTCCAGATAGGCCCTGGGCAGGGTCGGGGTGGGGTCTGTCACCATGAGCTTCTTGGAGAAGGAGCCAGAACAGAGTGATGGAGACGTGGAGGGCGGGGATGGGAGGGTGGGCAGAGCAGGAGCGAGGAAGGGGGCTCCTGAGATGCAAGAGGAAGAGCCACGGGAAGAGTGGGGGCCCCGGGCACCTCAGATCTTCTCGCCTCTGCCCCCGACCCCGCCGGGCAGGCCCCACCAGCAACGGCCTGCAGAAGGTGGACGTGCAGCTGATCCCGCAGGACTTGTGCAGCGAGGCCTACCGCTACCAGGTGACCCCCCGCATGCTGTGCGCCGGCTACCGCAGGGGCAAGAAGGATGCCTGCCAGGTGACTCCTGCGGGATGGGCCAGATCGGGGAAAGAGGGCGCTGCTCATGTCACCCAGGGCCTGCTGCAGCCTCACGGCAAGGTGGGCTTGGCTGTCCCCACCTTATGGATGAGGAAACTGAGGCTCGGGAGGTTGAGAGACTTGCTCCAGGTTGCAGGCCCCAGATCAGAAGAGACCCCAGGGGGGCAGGGCTGAGGCCCAAGCCCAGCTCTGCCCCTTGCCCTCCGCGAGGCGCTTTGCCCAAGTGAGGCAGCAGAGAGGACTAGAGCCCACAGAAGGCAGGCGGGGCTGGGCAGGGCGTGGGGACACACATCCACGCTTCCGCGAAAGCCAGGCCCTGCTGGAGACCAGGCTGAGCTGGTTTGGGCCGCCTCCATCTATCAGAGGCTTCCAAAGGGGACGTGTCACTCAGAACATCCCCAGCAGTCGGGACCCTTGCCTGGAAGGGGATGTCTCTACCCTGACGTGGCCCTGTCTCTTCCCCTCTTACAGGGTGACTCGGGCGGCCCGCTGGTGTGCAAGGAGCCCAGTGGCCGCTGGTTCCTGGCGGGGCTGGTCAGCTGGGGTCTGGGCTGTGGCCGGCCCAACTACTTTGGCGTCTACACCCGCATCACAGGTGTGATTGGCTGGATCCAGCAGGTGCTGACTTGAGAAGCTGCCCCCGCAGAGCAAGAGCCCCCACCTCTTAGACTCAGAGAGCCCAGGGCGCCCACCAGGCAGGGGAGCAAGTATTCTGCCGGTGGCAGGGCCCCGTGGGGACAGGAGGTGGTGTCTCTCCTCTCCCGCAACCTGTTGCCTGACATCTGCCCCAGTGAGGACTCAAGGAGGGAGAAGGGCCATCAGCTGGTGGTCGAGACTTCCCCTGAGGGCCTGGGATGGTCACCAGGCCCGGCTGGGGGGGGGGGGGTCACGTCCAGCCTGTCCCCTCCTGATTCTCTCTCCTCCTTCCCCTTCCTCCGCTGCTGACTTTGGTGGGCAAGGGTCGAGCAGCAGTCATGTGGCTGCCGGGCCCCCCGCCTGCCCCCGCCCCAGCGCAGAAGCTGCTGGGCCGGCATCCTCTCCAGACAGCAGATTCCAGCCTTTGAAGCCCTTGGCCTAACTTGAGGGGTGGGGGAGGAAGGTGCCTCCGCAGGAAGGGCCCTCAGAGCCCTAGAGACAGCCAAGTGGGCCAGCCGCCACTGCAGGCCAAAGGGTGGGGAGCCCCAGGTCCAGGGTCCTCCCACGCCTACCTGTTCCTCGGGCCTTCACTGCCCACTCTCACCTGGAGGTGAGCTCAGCTGCCCTGTGGAATAAAGCTGTCTGACCCGAGGTCCTGTTCTGGGGATTGAATGGGGCCCCGGGCACCAATCTCATGCCTTTGACTGAGCAGCCCCTGTTATCTGCTCAGCCTGTTGGCTAAGCGTCCAGGAGACCAAGGGGTGGGGGCGGTCAGTGGGGGCAGCGGTGGCCTCCAGGGCAGCTGCCTAGGTCCTGGGAGCAACCCCAGGAAGGCAATGGTTTGGTGCCCCTCAGGTCAGAGTGAGGGCTGGGACAAGTGATGCGCTCCTTCTGGAAGCTTGGAAGGAAGCTGAGGGGCAGAGAGTCTCATGATCGCACCAGGGAGGGGTCAGGAGTGGAGCCTGGAGCGGAAGCCCCATCTCCTGATTCCCAGGCTACCACTTCCCCTCTGGCACGGCACTGCCTCTGCATTCTGAGTCATTTATTCAGTGAGCAGCTCACAGGCTCCTACCACGTGCCAAGGGCCGCACTGGGGTCACAGAGCTGCACAGAACTTGGCTCCTCACCTCGGGAGGGGTGGGGATGCTGATCCAGGGTGAAGGGGCTTTGGGGTAGCCTGCAACTCGGGAAGGCTGCCTGGAGGAGACTTGGGGTTCAAATGTGGCCAAGGTGGGGAAGAGCATTCCAGGCAGGGGAACAGCATGTGCAAAGGCAACAGTCCCCAAAGTCAGTGGCCTGTTAGGGAACAGTAAGTTGTTTTTAGTTGGAACAGAGGTTGGCAGGGGTGGTGGTGGGGTGGGCGGTAGGGCTAAAAAGGAATGCATGGGGAGGGGCAAACTGAGATTAGATGGCAAAGAGCTTGGAGTAGAGCTATGAATTGACCCTGGGCGCTCTGGGGAGCCGTGGAAGGCTCTAGAGCAGGGAAGTGACTGACACAGTATGGATTCCCAGTTTAGAACCACCACCGGCACCAGTCTGGAGGAAGTGGGAGGCAGGGAGGCCGGTAAGGAGGCCACTGCGGAATTCCAGGGAGAAGAGGATGGGGCCTGGACCGAGCAGGGCAAGGGGGATGGACATAGGGTTGAAGGACCCTTACTGTCCTCCAGGTGCCCCAGTGGATGGGGTGACGTGAGGGAGGAGTCACCCAGGACCACTCCCACCCAGGGCACCTGGGGAGGGAAAAGCTCTGGGAAGGTGTCATGAACTTGGGATGCTTCTGGGAGGGAGATGTCCAGGAGGCAGGCGGAGCTTGAGAGAGGTTTGAAGGAGGGATTTTAGAGCTGCCCTGCAAGGAAGGTGGTCCGGGGAAGACGGAGGAGGTGGGGGAGACACAGACTGCAGACGTGCGGGTCCGGAGTAGGAGGCTGAGGGGAACTGAGGGGTATGGAGTCTTAGCAGCCAGGGCTGTGGCCTGAGTGGGAGTGGTCAGGGAGGCGTACAGGGCCAGGCCCTGGTGGAGGTGAGGAACGGGGGTGTCAAGGGCGGACAAGTCTTTCTTGGAGCCTAGCTGGGAGGAGAAGGAAGCGGGGGAGCCTAGTGTCGAGAGGGTTTTCAAAGGTAGACAGGGAACAGCCATCGCATCCACGTGTGGAGAGCCCTCCACCCGCTGGGTCCTGCCTGTGGAGATGGCGCAGACGCTATGGGGGGACACCTTTGGGGTGGGGGCAGGACTACCCCGGGTGGCCTCTCAGGGATCTCAGAGGGGGAGCAGAACACTGCTGGAGGGTGCTTTGCTAAAGTGCAAATTCATGGCCTCACCCCAGCCTTAATTAGTAGGAATTAGGGGGTAGGGGGTAATCTGTCCTTTTAACAAGGCTCCTGGTGACTCTTTTGCAAGCAAAGCTGGACACAAAAAGCGAGGTCAACTTCAGAGAGCCGAGTGGCCCCAGGGAGAGTGGTGAGGTCCCCCCAGCCTGCTGAGCGGGCTGGGGAGGCTTCGGTCAAGGGGAGCACTGCTTTGCAGAGATGTCCCCCGGCAGCGCTGAACTGCTGGGGGGCGGGGCTGGGGAGCCAGGCAGACACTCAGTAGGACCCGGGAGGTGAAGGAACTGGCCAGGCAGGGTGGGGGTCCCGTCAGACTCTGAGAGAAGATGGAGGGGAGACTGGGGGTTGTATTTCCTAGGACTTGGGGCAGAGGGTGGAGGTGACCAGAAGCTATCACAGCAGGAAGCAGAGGGGACGTCCTGCTAGGTTAGGAGGGAGCTGAGGTGGCAGGGTGAAGCCAGAAAGGAGAGCACCTTACCTGAATGGCGAGGTGAGACTGGGAATTGGGACGTAGGGAGCCAGGCTTGGGAGGACCTGGTATTCTGATTCCCAGAGGCCCAATTCCCTACCCCTCAGCACCCCAGCTAATCTAGGTCTGCCTGGAGGCCAGAAGAGACCTGCGTGACTCCAGGGGGCGGGGCCTTAGAAGTCACCTGGTCCACCCCGTCACTTTACTGTTGAGGAAACTGAGGCCCAGAGAGGGGATGGTACTTTCCAAAGTTCACCCAGCAAGGCAGAGCTGGTACCCTCGGTGTCCGGCCACGGGACAGAGGATGCAACCGTGATGCGCATCCCCCCAGCACACACGGGAGAGTGACAACAGGGTGGGGTCCCTGGGCTTTATGAAAAAGCCCCATTACCTTGGGTTGTCTACACCACCTTAAGTTTAGCCCCTGTCCCCAAACGTGGCCCAGAGAAAGAGAGGGAGACAGCCGGGCTGGCTGCTTCTTCAGGTTTTATTACACGGTGGTGTTGGACACCGCTGGGAAGCAAGTATCCAGCTGGGGAGGCCATAAACGCAGGAGGGGCCCCTTGCTCAGCCCCTGCCACCCCAGACTCTCCCTTGGGCAGAGGGAGGAGTGTCCCCCTTTCCCTTGTCACCAGCTCCTGAGTGGCCCCGCTGCCCCTGCTGAACCAATGCCTCCCTTCCTCCTGGCCAGGGCACTGTGCGACCAGCAGTACAGACAGCAGGGGCACGGGGAGCAGGCAAGGTGAAGGCCGAGTCACCCATCCCCTCCTTCAACAGCGCTAACGCCACGCCCTTCATCGCCCACCAGTCCCTCAATCTCCATCCTGGGTCAGGCAGGTCCGAGTCTGCGCCTTGTGCCCTCCCTGAGGGCTTTCGGGGACCTTTGCTCCTCTCGGTAAAATCACAGCAAACCTGAGGTAGGTAGGGCAGGAAGTGAACCCATGTGACAGACAGGGAGACTAAAGGAGGTGATGTGACTGGGCTGTGGGGGGAGCGCATCTGCCATGCAGCTGGGGGACCTGAGGGAGGGGACGTAGGGGCCTGGAAGACACAGCTGGACAGTGCCACACTTTGACCACCGGCAGGCGGCTCTGCCCAGGGGTCCCAGGGCCCGCATCAGGCCTTGCGAGGTCCCAGTGGGCCCCCACCCGGCCCCCGGAGGCAGGGGTAAATCACAGCCCCGCAGGTGTAGACAGAGGTGACAGCGGGGAGAGCTCTTCCTCCGCCTCAGGCTGGGGGCCCACCCCGCGGTACAAAAATAAAGGATTTCAGAACGGAACCCCAAGTCCCTGGAGGCGATCTGGGGCCTCACATCCGGGTGCCTCTGGCTTGTAACAGCTAGAAAATAAGAGGGGGCAGGGGGACGGGGTGGGGAGTGGCCAGAACACCGGGAGGAGGGTGAGAGGGTGAGGCCGGTGAGGAAGGGGTAGTGCAGGGCCAGGAGCAGGGCGGAGAGGAGATTGGAATGGAGGGAGGGAGGGGTGGGGAGAGAGGGAGAGAGAAAGAGTCAGGTGAGTCACGAGGTCCTTTCTGGGAGGAAGGAGGGGGGCTGAGGCCCAGAAAAAGTGTATTCAGAGCTGAGCAGGAGGGGAAGCGGGGAGAGGACCCAGCTCGCCCATCCAGGGGCCCCATGCCCCACCTTGGGCCGGGGGATGGCTGCCTAGGAGGCCACATTCTGCCAAGGCTCTGGCCAGGGGGTCGAGGCCCAGAGGCTGGTCACCACTGTCTCAGGCAGAAGGTCACAGAGAGCAGCTGTCTGTCCCCATTTTTGAGGCAACTGTGGCCCAGAGAAGGACAGTGACTTGCCCAAGGTCGGACAGCAGGCAGATAAGACTGAGTGGGGGCTTGTGGGCACCTGGCCAGGGCTTTTTCTGCCACAGCCCAATCCTCAGCCAGCTCCGGCTGACTCCTCCTAGGCCAAGGGAATCCAAGTGTGGCCTGTCCTTCCCACCCCTGCAGAAATAGGGAACCCAGTGCCTCGAGGCTGTGATGCAGAAGCTCCCGCGTGTGCAGGGATGAGGTCAGGGCACCTGGCTTCTGCTTCCCTTCCCTCCTTCCCAGTGTGGCTCTGATGCTGCTGGGCAGGTGGGAAAGAATTTCCTCCCCCTTTTGTCTCATCTCAGAGCCTCATCCCCAAGGCCAAGATAGGCTGAGAGACTTGGGGGAGGGGAGAAAATCAGCCGGAAGTTCGGCTCAAGTCCAAAAAAACAAGAGATGAGCACCCTCCTGGCTTCCGCCCCTGCCTCCAGCTCTGCCAAGCTACAAACCAGGCGTGGCAGCTCTGGGGGCGGGCGAGGGGCCCAGGAGAAGCCCTCACCGCAAGCGCAGCCTCAGGTCTGAGGGGGCGCAGACGGGAACCTGCAAGGAGGAAACGTGAGGAGGTGAGGCGCTGCAGCAGGGTGGCCCGGCCTCAGATGTGCCCGGCGGGGTCGGCGGGCACCAAGGAGGTGCAGCTGTGCCCCTCTGCCCCGGGCCCAGAGGCGGGAGGTGCCAGAAGGGGTGTGGGAGGCGGCAGGCGGGATGCTCTGGGATGCGGTGCCGGGGCACCTGGGTGGAGGGCACAGGAGGCTGGGACCACAGCAGCCCCGGGATGGAGGTGTGAGCAGGCAGAGAGAAAACCCGGACAGGGGCAGAGAGGGAAGAGGCAGGGTGCAGATGAGATCCAGGAGGAAGAAGAGGTGGATGGAGATGAGGCAGGACCTCCGGCGGGAAGCGGAGGAGGAGGAGGCGGTGGTGAGAGGGAGGAAAGGTTAGCGGGATCCTGAGATGACTGGGCTGCAAAGAGAAAGTGAGAGAAGGGATGGTTATGCAGGTGAGGCACCAGGCACGTGGCTGAGCTAACCCTGGAGGGCCCGCCCCCCGGCCGTCCCGGGACCCCAGGCTCCACAGCGGGCTCCAGCGGGGAGCCGGCGGGAGGCACGGCCTTTGTTAGCGATTGTTCTCCTCGGGGGTTGGCTGCACCTTTCTGCTGCGTATCTGCCTCCACCTCCACCTGCACCTGTGCCACCTCCACCTCCTGCCGCTGCCGCTCCTCCAGCTGCTCCTCCGCGCGCTGTGGACCAGCCGGCAGACCCAGGGAAGAAAGAGCGCAGAGCTAACGAGGGGGCCGGGGCCCGCTGGTGGCTGTCCCCGCAGGCCCCCATCTCAGCGTGACGGGGACGGGCGAGGGGCACCTCCCGGGGAGGGGAGTGCTACAGCCACAGAAGCCGGGGCATCTTGTCGGATCCCCGGGGAAGCCTGCGAGGGGCCTGGGGGAACCAGCAGAGGGTGGGGTCCTGCTGAGGATGCTCACGGATGCGCCTGGCTGCTGGGACGTGGAGCAAGGCTGGGGGAGGGGTGTCAGAGGAAGGGGGTGGGTGTGTGGCCAGGGCAGCCTTGAGGGCTGCCTGGGAAGGCCTCGTTTTAGGAGGACCGACCCAGAGCAGAAATGAGGCCAGGGGAGGCCCAGGCAGATCTCAGATGTCAGCACCAGGCTCTCGCACCCCAGGTCCTGAGGTCTCTCCCAGAGACGCAGGAGCAGCCAGCTCACCTTGCACCCTTGCAAGGCCGTGCCGGCCGCTGGCCCCCATGGGGCTGGGGTGGGCAGGGGAAGTCACAGCCCAGGGAGGCAGACGGCCAGACGGGAAGCGGAGTTCCTAAGTCTCCAGCACATAGGGACAGGCTCCTAGAAGGAACGGTCTCCCTTCTTCCCAGCCTGCCTAGCTGCCTGCCCCACTGGTCCTACCAAAGGCCCCTCAGGCTTCCGATCAGCTCTGCGTCCAGGGTGGCAGGACCTCCGATTAGCCCCCTCCCCGCCAGCCAGCTGATGCTGCCTCACAGGCCAGGGTGGAAACACAGGGCCGGACCCCAAGGGCTCCAGACCCCTCTGCTGCTGTGTCCTAGGAGGGAGCCTGCGGGAGGGGCAGGATTAACGGATTCGGCTTCCCTGCCCCAGCCCAGGCCCCTGGGAAATAAATTACCCCTTTGGATCCCAGAAGTTGCAAGCTGGTGGTCCACCCCTCTCACTCCTCTGAGAACACAACCAAGGTGCCCAGAGGGGGCGGGACTTGTCCAAGGACACGCAGAGCGCTCACACCACGCCCAGACCCCTAGTCCAGTGCACTCCCCCTTGTGCTACGCTGCCCCGTGGCCACCATGCGACCACCATCCAAGTGGCATCTAAGTCCACCCTCGCCGTGCCCTGGGGATAATCTCATCTCGTTGTCCCCCAAGTCTGGGCCTGGGTAACTGGCGTGAGCAGGCAGGACGGTGGGTGGCATGGGATGGATGGCATCGGCTGTGAGCAGGGGGTCAGGCGTGTGCAGCGGGAGGGAAAAAGAAGCTCGGATGGCTAGGTGGAGGGCGGCGAGGGGAGGGAGGAAAGGCAGGGAGGCCGAGGTCGGGGCAGGGCAGGGGCTGGGGCAGAGGGCTCACCTTGGTTTTGCGGCTGGACTCGGAGCTCAGTCCGTGTGGGGAGCTGTAGAGCTCCTTGGACACCACGCACAGGAACTCTGCCTGGTCCTCGCTGCCATAGTTGTAGGAGGAGCCGATGCTCACCAGCTGGAGGGGCGGAGCATGGGGAGAAAACGACAGGATGGGGTTGAGGGGACGGGGTGGGCGGACACCGGCACTTGTCAACTGTGCCCTGACCTTGCTGTTCCATTCAGGCCCATCCCTGGGTTTCCAGAGGACACCTCTGGTGCAAAGTCAGAGTCCTCTCCCCCTCCACCCCCACCTATGGCTCTGGGCTATTTCCAGGGCCAGCCCCCCGACGTGGCTTGGCTGGACCTGATCCTTAGAGGAGGGGGGTTATCACTGCTGTTCCTCCCCCATATCTAGCAGGCAACGTCCTAAAAGCAGGCAGAGGCCTGTAATGGGCAGGCTGTCTCCCTCTGTCCCAGATGTGGCTGAGGCAGCCCCAGAACCAGGCTGCAGGATGGGGTTGACATGACCTGGTGGAGCTCCATAGAATATTCTGTTCACTGTTGGAAGGAGAGGTAGAACAGGTCGCCCGTTCCTTACGCCAGCGGTCCCTGACATGCCCGCTCAGCCTTTGAGAGCCCATGCAGTTGCCAAAGACTCCCTTAGGCTTTCAAGAGTGGCCCCACCTTTGTTCTGGGGTCCCTAAAATAACCACACCTGCAGGGCCCCTTCTGACTGATAAAGGTCCTGCACGTGATGGGTCTCATTCGGCCCCCAGGAACCCTCATCCTGCAGAGAGGAAAAATCAGCCCCTTCATCAGATGAGGTCTGGAGAGGTGGTGAAGTCCCACAGCCAGGAAGAATCTGAATGTGAATGTGGATTCAAATTCAGGATTTGAATCTGGGACCCCGAGTCCTCTCAGGGGTCCTATGGACTTAAATGGTTCTAATAATTCACAGGGTGCTAGCTAGCTCCAACGTTTAGAGGCCTACTCTGGGCTAGGGACTTTATCCATGGTCTTTCTATGGAGGTCTTTCAACATTCCTGCAAAGGAAGTACTACTGGTCCATGTCACAGATTAGGAAACTGAGGCCCAGAGAGATACGCCTTGCTCAAGTTCACACAGCATGTCAGTGGCGAGGTCTAGATATGAATCCAGGCTTCCGGCTCCTGGACTGGACTAGTTCCTCCATCCTGCCCGGCCATCCTGGGAAGCCTGGCCTTCTTCAACCTCCAGGTGCAAGGGAGCTTGTAAGGATAAAGGGTAACCCAACCCTTCCCCTTCTCTAAGGGCAAATTTGACCTTGGGTTAACTTGTTGGCTCTGATCCTCTGGAAACCTCAGAGAGGTGTGACGTCAGCTGCATTACTAGGGCAACACCGTTTATGATAAAAATCTCTCCTGCTGGTAAACTGCATAGGTACTGGGAGGAAGTACAGGTCACCATAAATACCTCATGGGAAGCTGCTGCCCTGGGCTGCCCTGAATGTGGCAACGCTTGGAACTGGGCATGTCCCTTGCGGGGACCTGGAATCTATGCCTATGGAATTGTTACACAAGGTGTGGCCCCAAGGGGACCTCTGCTCTCCTATGTGGATCTTGTCTCCTCGCACCAGAGCTGTCGCTTGGGGGCCAGAGACTCACACACTATGGTGTAGACCACTACCTGGTTGCTGGGAGGACTCCCATTAAAGATGATTCCCGGGAGCTGCCCTGCGGCCATCGGGGCTTCCCTCCTCTCTCCTTCCTGGTCAGTCTGCTGCCAAGTGTGGCCTTTCTTAATCTTGTTTAGTCTGTCTTAAGACCCCGGGTGGGGGCTGAATTGGGCACCCCAAGGCTGGGGCTGCGGGAAGGGAGGGGCCTGCTTTGCCTGGGGGTGTGGCCCAGCCCACCTGCTCGAAGCGCCAGCCGTCGGACATGGTGGAGACCATCTGCGTGAGCTCCTCCTCCTGGCACTGCAGCACGCGGTACACGTGCTTGGGTGGGACCTGCAGGCAGAGGGGGGACGTGGAGGACACCTGTGGGAGTGCCAGGCACCCCGGGGGCGGGAAGAGCACCTGTCCTCCCCCCACCATCTACCCCTAAGAAGGACAGAAGTGGGGGAGGGGAGATGGGAGCCATGTTCTGAGTACCTACTATGTGCCAGGCACTCGACGTGCATGTTCTCACTTAATCCCTCCAAAAACCCTAGGAGTTATGGGATGTTCATGGAAGTTCAGAGAGGGTCAGTTACTTGCCCAAGGTCACCCAGCTAGAGAGTAGCAGAGCCAGAATTGGAACACAGGTGATACAAGTGGGAAAGGAGGAGGGGCTTAGGGGACATCCTGGGGCACTAATTGAGGCAGGTCCTCCAGGGGACGCGGGGCACCCTCTCTTCAATCTCCTGGGGCTGGGAGACGGTGCCTCACTACCCATTTCCCACCCTCCACGTCTCCCCCAAGGTGGGCAGAGAATCTCTCCAGCTCCTCCTACAGCCTGGCCACTTAGGCCTAGGGTCCAAGCTCAGAAACTCCAGCTCCAGAAGCTTGTGCCGTGACCTCCAGGGGACCACCTGAGCCCATGAAGTGGACGATGTAATAATCCCACATTGCCTCCCACAGGGCCCCCTGTACCTCCACAGTGACCCCATTTTGCCTGGGAGGAAGGGAAGGGTGGGCAGTTCTCAGCACCTCTACATTCCACAAGAGGAAATCAAGGTCCAGAGAGGGGTGTGATTGGCTCAAGGTCACACAGCAAACAGAGCCGAGGCAGGGAAAGAACCCCAAGTCCGTCTCCCAGTCTGGGGCTTTGCTGAACGGTTTGGGAGCTGGACAACCACTCCTCCCCTTATAGGAGAGCTTGGCCTCCCCAAGGAAAACTGGCTCTGCCTCTCCCAACCTTCCTCCTGACCCCCCTCCCCCGTCCCCGCCACCCCCTGCCCTGGCCAGGGATGCCGCCCCGCTGCCCTGCAGCCCCCCGACCTGTGTGACGGTATAATCCTTCTCCTCCATCCGGTCTTTGATGATCCGGATCAGCGGGCCGATGTTGTAGAACTCCGCTTCCTCCAGGACCCCTGGCACAGACAGAGCAGCACCCCACCCCCGTCACTCCCACTGCCCCCGTGCCCCGTTCTCACCTTGTCCCCTCCACCTCCACCCCCTGCTCCAGTCACACAAAGGTGATGAGCCTCTGAGTTGGGGTCAGGCAAGAGGGAACACTTCCTTCCTTGGGTCCCACACTCACTGTAGTAGGGGTGAGAGGCTGCCATTCAGTGGCACTATATCCCTGCTGTGCTGAGCACGGTGACCCAGGGATGGTTGGCAGCCCTCTAGTCTGGGGCTATCCAGAGGCAGTGGACCCGTTGGGACTGGACCCTATGCCACAGTGAGAAGGGGCTTGGGTGGCTCCCGATTACGTGTTCCCATTTATGAAGCATACACTAAGTGCCAGGCACCGTGCCAGGTATGTCACACTCTTCACTGCAGTTAATTCTCAGCACAAGAAGTAGGTACTTTCCTCACCCCCACTGAACAAACGGGGAAACCGAGGACCAGGCAAAGCAGCAGCTGTGCAAGGCCACACACCTGGCGCTCGGCAGAGCTGGGATTCACACTCAAGTTCCTCTGCCTTCTAAATGCATAATCTTTGTGCACGTGCATCTCCCCAATCACTACACTTCACAGTTTGCAAAGCCCCTCCTGTGCTCACCACAAGCCCCAGGGTCGTGGAGGAAGCAGGCATTATTGTCCCCATACAGTTAAGGAGACTGAGAGTCCTAGAGACTGAGCGAGTGCCCTCTCCAGTGAACGGGACAACCCTCGGCCTTAGGACTCCCCTAAGCTCCTGCGGGGCAGAGACACTTCCTGTCCTTTCCATGACTGGACTCTGGGCTCCCCGGGGACAGGGCCCATGTCTGATGTCCCCGGCGCCCACACCCACCTAATACAGAGGACACAGTGAGCGAGTGCTACTGCCAGGATGCCCCCCGTGGAGCCCTGCAGAGGACAGACAACTAACTCTGCATCACGGGTCCGCAGTGCCTGGCACTGTGCTAAGTGACGCACTTGCATTAGCTCCTTTTATCCTCACAGCAGCTCAGCAAGGTGGGTGCTATTGTCACCTCATTCCGCAGATGCAGGCATGGAGGCACAGAGGGATAAGTGACTTTCCAGGTGTCACACAACTAGTCAGTTTCCTCCTGGATCCCCTGGCCTCTTGGATCGGGGCTCTAGCCCTGTGTAAAGGTGCTGGGAGTGTCAGGGCTTGACAGACCCAGAACCTGTAAACAGGTGTTGGCCGTGACGCTGGAGTGTTTACCTCCCCTCCCCATGGGACCTACTCCTGGGCCCAGGCCACGCCCATGGTACCTGCTGCCCCAGGGGCTGCCGGGAAAGCTGTAGGGCTCCGCAGAGCCGATGCCTACAGCGGGCTCTGATTTTGAAGCTGTGGCCTTCTGGGGAGCCACCTGGCTTCTAAATCACTGTGTCCCACAGGGGTCAGGAGGGAAGACCGTGGGCCCGAGTGAGGAGGGAGGGGCTGTGCTAGACACCTCCAGGGTACAAGCCCCGGGACTCATGACGTCTGGTTTTCCCAGAACATGTCCCTAATGCAGATCGCCGCCCCTCCTTTATATACACAAGTGGAGACTCAGAAAGGAGAAGTGACATGTCCAAGCTGGCCTGGCTGGGTCAGGTGACCCAGAGCCACACCCTGTGCCCTAAGGAAAAGTGGACTTGGCACCCCTTGCTCCTGGCAGGGGCTCTGCCAACAAGCCTTTCTCCCAGGCAGGCATCCGGTCTTTCTCCCCACTGTCTGTTGGGCCCAGAAGTGGGCATCTACAGGGCCTCAGCCAGCCAGGCCTGGGAGGGACCAAAGCCCTGCTGGAGAGCAGGCTCCGCCCACCCCTGCCTTCACCCACAACTGTGCTGCAGGGGCTGCCGGATCTGGGCGAGGAGTCACCCACTCGACACACCTGCGGACCCACGTGAGCCCTCACCACGCATCTGAGGTACCCCATCACCCAGACAAAGAGAGCCACACCTCTCCCCATGGCCATCTCCACCCACAACTGGCTTCCCAGAAGGCCAGGGGAAAGGGCATCCCTGCCCAGCCTCACTGGCTCCCTCTATCCTCTGCTTCCGTGTTTCTGTCACCTCCCCAGCAGCACCCAGTGGAAGCATGGGCCAGTCACCTTGGCACAGTCCCTAGGCTCAGCCTGGACACAGGCTTTGGGAGTCAGTCCTGTCAGGAATGAGAAGAAGCAGGAAACATGGAAGAAAGCAGATGTCCCCTGAGGACAGACAAAATGGCTTTGCGCCTCCACAGGAGGCCCTGGCAGACTGCAGAGGGCAGGGCTAGGGTATGGGCCCTGGCCTCCCCGGGACCAACTCACCCTCCTCAGCCATGTCCTTGTCCAGCACCAGCTTGCCATGCCGGAGGAAGTTGAGGATGGGCCCGAAGTAGGTGGGGTCACGGTCAATGAGGTAGGCCCCGGTCTCATCCTACAAAGGTGAGGGGCACAGGCAGTGAGAGAAGAGTGAGCCCCGCTCCCCTGCCTGACCTCTCACTTCAGTCCCAGTAAAGGATCAGCGGGAGGGCAGGAGGGGGCGGAGTGTCTGCTCTTCCCCAGAACAGAGTGTCCTGATGGAGTAAAAAGGCTTTGGGGTCAGATACACCTAGGTTCAAATCCTGCCCCGGCCTTTTCCTGACTGTGTGACCTTGGGCCAGTGATTTGGCCTCTCGGAGCCACCCTCTTCTTTCCCATAACTGGAGAGCATTGTGAGCATCCAGTGAGGTCTGAGTGGCACCTGACCCAGCATAGGGCTCAGGGATTGTCCCTCTTAGAGGTTATTCCCTGAAGCCAGCCCTACACTGTCTCCACCAGATCCCCTGGCATTCTGGGGATGTTTACAAGTTTCCAAAAGAGCCACTATCTCATTGGATACCCTCAGCCTGCAGGGAGGCAGAGCAGGCATCAATACAAGTCTACAGAGAGGAAACAGAGACATCACCAGGTGAGGGGACTTGCCCAAGGTCACAGCATCAGAGGGTCAGGAAACAGCAGAGAGGGGGCCTTAGAGGTCATCGCCAGGCCAGCCCTCTGGGGTTACAGACACGAGGCTGAGCAGGATAGGGTTTGACCCAAGGTCATGCAGGAGGTTTGCAGCAGAGCTGAGAGGGGAACCCAGAAATGGTGCCCCAGGCCAGCGCTCCTACCTGATGAAGCCCAGCTGAGAAGGCACCCCGGGATTTCTCCACCCAGCTCCCTGTACCCCAAGGCTACCCATACCCCAAAGGGCGGGGAGGCGGGGAAAAGCAGACTCAGTAACTCCTTCCGTGGTGCAGGAGTCCAGTTTGGGCAGAAGAGAATGCCCTAGGTGTCTGTCTCTTCCCACAGCCCCAAAGGAGGGGGAGAGTCCCCATCCATCAGCCTCCTGGCTTGGGAGCCCAGATCAGCGCTCAAAAACTCCAAATGGGCGCAGCCCGGCGTTGTCCTGTTGCCACGGCAATGGGCACATCCCTCACTCTCCGATCCATTTCCTTCTCCCCTCCTCCGGCCAGTTCTTCCCGCCTCCAGCTCTTCGGAAATAAACCCAGCCGGGTTTCCAGCCCCGCGGGCGGGCCAGGCTGGACAACCAGATTCCGGCGAGCTAAGGATCCCCGACCGCCGCCCACCCCGCGGGCCTCACCCGGTCAGACTGCAGCTCTTCCCCCTGGCACAGGCGGCTGAGGAAGGACTTCTGCTCGCGGCACAGCGTTTGCCGGGTGGTCAGGAACACCGTGCCCCCCACGTTGAGCCTCACCCACTTGCTCCAGCCGCCCGCCCCCGCCGGCGGCGCTGCCTCCCGGGCCTCCATCCTCATCGCTCTTCCCAGCGTCTGCATCCTGCCTGCAAGGCGGCTGGAGGCGGGCATGTACCGCGCGCCGGGCATGCCGGGAGTTGTAGTCCGTGCCGCCCCGCGTGAGTGTGGCCAGGGGTGAGGGTCAGCCGACGCCCTCTATCCCGCCTTCTCCAGCCCCGCCCTACTCTGCCCTTCCTGGGAGGCCTACAAATGGGAGTTTCGTAAAGAAGTTCTTTGGCCAAGTTACTCTGTGTTTGGGAAGGTCAAGTTCGAGGTCACTGGGAAAATAGTGATACCCCAAATCAGCGATCCTCCCATTTGGTCTCCACATTGTTTTCCCTTTGTCCAGTTTGGGTTATCAAACAGATGACAGGAAAAGGAACTTCTCCCTCCCCAAATTCCTATAGCATTTACCTGTATCTGTTTTCTAATATACTTTCATTCGGCCTTTGGGGGTGGGGGTGTGAGGAGAGCTGGGTTCTTTCCCCACATAAATTCTTTCAGGACCCCACAGTCGGGCTTAAAAGTTGGCTCAGCACCTTCTATATTCCAGATGCTTTATGCATCTATTATATTGGGTTGGCCAAACAGTTCGTTCGGGTTTTTCTGTAACGTCTTACGGAAAACCCAAACGAACTGTTTGGCCAAGCCAATATTATTCACTGATGCTCTTAGCAGCACTGTGAGGTCGCTGTTACCGTATCCACTTTACAGATGAGGACGCAGAAGTGAAGTGACCTGCTGGACTCACACAGCTGGTGAGGGGCAGGCTGGCATGAACCCAGGTGGGTTCCAAGTGCATTTCCACCACCAAGGCCCCTTTCTTGCTCCTTGGGAAAGATTTCTCGGGAGGAAGAGTCAGGAGGGTGCTGGATGAATGTTTGGAGAACTGGGTTTTCATCCTGGCTTTTGTAGGGTGAAGTGCTGGGAGAGGTCTCAGTTTACCCATCTGTAACTCAGGAGGGGGAAGAGGGATTGGTTCTGCGGGTGCCCTTCTGAGCCAGATAACTCAGAGGTGGGACTGCTATTGCAGGCCCTGCAGGATGTGGGAAGGGAGCAGCTCCTCATGTGGTTTGGGACCAGGGAGGGACAAGGGCTGAAGGGAAGCTGTCCTCCTTAACCTCCTTTCCTTCTCACTATTTCGGTCCTGGTCCTGGATTAAGGGGGGAGGGTCTGAGGCTCCCCTCAGCGGTTTCAGTGTCACACACTGGGCAGCCTGGCCCTGCATGGCAGTGGCGGGGTTGGGGGGGGGCGGGTTCTGTTACCCCTCGGGCTCTGCTTTCTCCGTAAACCTTTCCCCTCGGCAGGGAATGGGTCACAGCTGCTAGACTTCTGCTCCTGGGGACTCGTGTTCTCTTAAACACAAATCCAATTTCCTCCCTGGACCTCGGCTTTCTCTTTTGCAAAGTGGGAATTAGAATAGTTGCTAGTGGAGAACATTGTTGTTAAGATTAAATTATGTCGGTAAAACACCTGGCATAGCCCATGGCTTTTAGTATGCTGAATAAATGAATGAGTGAATGAATGAAATGGGTTATAGGATATGAACTGGCCTTGGAAGGTCAGCGGGACTCCTGGCACTTGGTGAGTCCTCAAGCACCGTCAGCTGAAACAAAACCAGAGCAGGGAATATTTCTTTTCCACTTAAGGGGTGTAGGCAGGGAATGATGTGCTCAGATATGTAACTTGGATCACTCTGGGGGCTGCAGAGGGGATGGTTCGAAGCCCCAAGAGACCAGCCAGGAGGCCACCTGGGTGAGAAATGGGGAAGCCCCAACCAAGGTGCTGTCAACTGGGCCAGACAGGAGTGGGCGGCTTCAGTGGATACTTGGGAGGCGGAAGTGAAGGTTGAAGGGACTGGGAAGGAGGGAGGAGGAGGAAGGAGGAGGGGCCACACGGACAGCCCTGGCTTCTGGCTTGAACTAACAGTGTTTCCCTGAAGCAGGAGAGGCAGATATGGGGAGTGATCAGCGTTGAGGAGGTCGGTTTGGAGCCTGTATTTGCAGTGCCTGTGGGCCAAGCAAAAACTGTCCTTGCAGGTGTGATACTCAGGAAAGCAGCATGGACTGGAGAGGACAGGTGGGGCTGGCCCCAGCCTAGGGTGGGGAGGAACCTAGGAAGGCCCTCTCGGTGGGTGGCTCCAGTGGATGAAGAGGATGGGGCAAAGTCTGGAGAGCAAGGAACAAGAGCCATACCCCAGAGACCAAGAGGGGGCCGGTTTGAATGAACAAGTTCATATGAGGAGTGAAAGTTGAGAAGGCGGAAGTGTAGCATCATGGAGCCGCAGGAACCCAGGGTTTGCCTGACCCAGCCCGTTGCTGCAGATGTGACAAAGCCGGGGCCGGGAGGCATAGAAAACTTGCACGGCGTTACTCAGCGGATGTGGAGCAGACCCCAGGTTTCTCGGGCCAGCCCTCACCCCCCTGGGGCTGCCTCTCCTGGCGAGGAGCGTGGACCACGCAGCACACTTGGACAGCATGGAGCTTTTAAGCTAGGGAGGCATGTCATCCGTGTGGCACTTGGGGAAGTTTAATCTGGCGTTGGTGCACAGTCGGGTTGGGGCAAGAACCTGGGGCCGGGAGGGAGAAATGGGGGTGACCTGCCCAGAGCCCCCTCCTCCTCCCTGCTCATATCCTGTTTTCTTGTGTTTCCCCCACTGCACAGTGATCATTCTGAGGACAGACACGATCCCTGGGCTCCTGTATCACAGGTGTCACTGGTCCTGGCTTAGGAGGGGCGAATGGAACAAAAACTCCCCAATGCTGGGAGTGTTTTTAGGACAGGGATCGGTCTTCTTCCTTCACACTGGCTTCCGCTGTATTTTATTTCACTGCTTCAGTGCTTCCTATGTGCCAGATGCTATTCTAAGCGCATCACCCCATGTAACAGGTGTGCTCAGGGAGACAGGTGATAGCAGGAGCTACCCTTTACTCATCTAACATGCCAGAGACCGTGTCCCAGGCATTCTGTAACAGCAACAGCAGCTGTCACCGATGGAGGGTTTACTCTGGACCAGGCCAAGCCCATGCATAATTCTCACAACAGCCCCATGCAATTGATCCTATTCCCACCTCCATCTTATGGAAGATGAGATTGAGGCTCCAAGACCATGGGCCTCCCTAAGTGTTGCTGGGAATGGCTACCAAGGGCAGAGCCGGCCTCTGAGCCTGTCTCATTGACTCTAAAGTCCAAGACAACATGGAGTCTCGATGCACCCTTGCACAGGCGTTCTTAACCTCGCCAGGTACAGATGAGGAAACTGCACTCACATGGGTGGTCCAGTGCAGACCCGCTTAGCCCAGTGCCAGGGCTCATCACCATCGTGGGCTGGGGTCCTGAAAGTGTCGGGGAGGCTAGGCCAGCACTTTTGGTCCCAGAGTGGAGGGAAAGGCTTTTGATGATCCAGTCTTACCCACTTCCTTCCTCAGAAACCCCCAGCTATCCCTAGACACCAGCATCCCCTCAGTAAGCATCTGAACTCTTCCCATCTGAAGAAACACCCTCCCTCCCACCAATCATCTTTCAGTGCCATGACTGTCTGTTGAGCACCGACTAGATGACAGACATCGAAACACAGAGATGAAGGCGCCAGAGGCCGTCCCTGCCCTAGACGGGGCTTCGGTTTGGGGGAGGAGAGTCTGAGAGGTTTTGACAAAACATGGAATCCCAGACTGTTCTGCTTGTAATCACAGACTGGTACTCTTCATAGTTTTATGCATGTATTCTCCATTTAGAGGATAAAACCAAACATCCCTTAGAAACTTTCTCTGGAGATTGGTTACCCTGGAGGACAGCCGAACTTCAAATGCCGGCTGGTTGCACTGCCCCCTGCTGTCCCCTTCTGGGAAGAGCAGCTCTCGGGTGTTTTTTTAACATGGCTCTGAAGAGGGCTTGAAAGTGAGACGGGACAGAGAGGTGATTAAGGGGCACAAAGCTCCCAGGTAAGGATGCCAGCCCAGGCTTTGCAGCTTGCTAGCTGGGTGATCTTGGGAAAGTTACTTAACCTCTCTGAACCTCAGCTCCCCATATCTCAATTGGGAATAATAGTACCTGGCTCATGCAGTTGTTGTGAGGATTCAATCAGCTAACACGTGAAGCCACATGACGAGCACTCAGCACACTGTCGGGGCAAAGCCTCAGTGAATCCTGGCTTTCGTGAAGCCAATCCTGCCACTCCGTCTATGGTCGTTTGGGCCAAAGATCAGAGACTGAGCCAAAGGCTGCCCCTTAAGACCCGTTTCCCATCGGCCAGGGATGAACCAACCCAACAAACACTTCCTTGCTGGGGTCGGAGGGAGAGGCAGAGAGAAAGGCCACCCCGAATGACCCAGTTTCCAGAGCAGAGCGGCTGCCATTTCCTCACGCTAAACCCCCAAGACCTAAACGGACATGGGAAACTCTCTACTGCCAGATAGAGCTGAAGGAACAGAAAATGCATGCTGAAGTTCTCACCTGAGCACATCACTGTGTCCTATTTTGAACCTTCTCATCTTCTAATCAGCGTCCCCCACATCTGAGGGTTTTGTTCACATCTGCTGTCAGTTCCACGACTAAGATGTCATTCGTCCCTGCTGGGTTTTTTGGATTCGGTACTCCTCTTCCCCACGTTCAGAATGTCAGAACATTCTGATTAGTCTCAACTTTTCCTTTTTTGTGTGTGGTTTTTCTTTTACATCAAATCCACTCCTATCCCTGCCTTGGCTGACAGTTCTGCCTCTTATCTTGGAGTGGAGGTTGTTGGTTCTGAGTCGGCACCTTTTCAGGTCACCTGAGCAGAAGAACAAGCATATAGGGAGTGTGTCCTGACCAGCCAGAAGTACTCAAACATGCTTTCAGAGGCCCGTGGTCCAGAGTTTGCATCTCTGCTCCATGGTTCCCTGGCTGTAAGACCTCGCTAATTAGTTATGTAACCTCTTCAACGCTCACTTTACACCATTTGCAATATTTACATCATAACATTATTCATACTTCTTAGTGTTATTACATGCAGTAAATGTTAGCTATTATGACTGAGCACCTACTATGTGCCACACCTGGGCTAGAAGTATTCCAGCCCAGATGGGTATTATTATACCCATT